TGGGCTACTAATTAGCCACATTATAGCGACTATAATTTCTTATTGGGCCTTTTAATTGGGCCTTTTAACTCGATCCATTAGATTTTCTGCGTAGGTCCATAGTATAAATACCTTATTACTACAGCGGAAACCTTAATTCCTCATTTCTCTAACCCTAGATCCCCAATTCTCTCTCTCTCTTAACGAACTCTAACCCTAACCCTTTGATTTCTCTCCGATTCAACCAATTTCTTCTCAAATTCTCTCGAAATCGACCCCTAATCCCTCTCAGTCTCTCTGATTCTCTCCCAATCTATCACAATCTCTACAAATCTCCTCGAAATCTCTCCGATTCTCTCTAAATATCTCGACATCTCTCCGTTTCTCTCCAGTTCCTCGTCGATTCTACTTCTTTTATCCCTAATCGATGGCTCCTCGTGTTCGTGGTGGAAAATCCAGAGGAAGATGAAGAGGAAGGGGACCGAAGTCTCCGGCGAAGCGACCCATTGTCCCAACTCGACCCACATCTTCCGGTGTGTCGAGTCGAAGACCTAGAAGCCTTCCGCCGCTGTACGAGTTCACGCCGGCGAACCCTTAAGATCCAATTCCAGAGACTGAGCAACCGGAGATTCGCCAGCCTTCACCGCGAGTGAGTCTGAGAGACTGTCCACCTCCTCAGCAGCTTTTCCATTCGGGCGAAGGATCTCTGCATGCATCTGGTGGATCTCCTCGAGGCTCCGAATCGACTCCATTTCGAGCATCCAGATCAACTCAAGTCAGAGGGTCTGTGTAGTGACCCTCGTTTAAGGGTAATAGCCAAGCAAGAAATGATAAAAAGAAGATGGAAAAACAACTAAGGATGAAGAATAAAGAAGACTGGTCGAGACAAAATGAAGCTGGGTCGAGAGAATAATGATCCGGACGTAGCCGGACGAATCCAGACGTACCCGGACGCATCCGGACGTACCCGGACGTATCCGGACGTACCCGCACGACAGCCGACTGTACCGCGGGACGTACTGCAAGGTACTTATCGACCGTTCGGGTGATTCCGTAACAAATTTATTGTACTGATCCAAGTCTTTGCCGAACGAAATCAAATTTAATGATGTTTGGGCGGAAGTTGAATGAGGAAATATTGATTTGGGCAAGAGATGATCGAGAAGCTCTGTACAGCGACCGTACCGCGAGATAACCTATCGATGATCTGATGATTCTATAAAGAATTCATCGAGCAAGCCGGAGTCTAATCCGACCAAAATGTGATTTAAGGCTGATTGGACGAAGGTTGATCGAGAAAATATTTATCCAAATGAAAAATGATTGAGAAATGCATGTCCGACTGTACCGCGGGACAGAACCGATCGTACCGCGGGACGTACATCGACCCGCCTACATTTTTGACCAGCCATTGACCGTTGACTGGCTAACTTGGAGCCCAAGTTTGGTTGCTTAGAGCCGAATTCTCACCCTTGGAGCCAAAGTTTCGCCGGACATGTGTCATTATCACGTCCGCAGTACGTACGTGTCTGTTCGTACGGCTGACACGCGTACGTGCTGACTCAACCCTCCGCTGCCTATAAATACTACGTCATTTTCGAACCATTTGGGCCGAAAAAGAAGAGGAAATTGCCGAAAGGCTGTCCGTCACCATGAAATCTGATCAAGGATCCTGCCGAGAGATCTGATCGGCCGGATAATCCGTTTCTCTCCGATCATACCCGTGAACTAGTTTTCTCCCAAAAAACTATTTCTTAGGGATGAATCCGAGTTAAACATTGAGAATCAAGATGGGAACTACAAAGACATGTTGAATCCGTGGAGTTGAGTTGAGGTGAGAAGAAGAAGGTGAAGCCGTGGGATGTCCAAGATCGTTGAAGCAAGCCTTAAACCTTCAGCCGAATCTCTGTGAGTCTCGTAGCATGTGATATGGCACATGATAGGTTTGGGTAGTTGTTGTGTTTATTGATTGTTGATTGCTAAGTCTCAGTGATGTGCTTAGGCGTATCATCGAGCAATTGCTTGGTTGTGTGCGTTTAGGTGTGAGGTTGCATGTTAGATTCTTGTTTTATCCTTAGTTGATTAACTTGAATCTCTATGCAGGTTTGGTACCGAATCATGTTCGCGATCCTTGTGATCCGTACATAAATGATTCCGTACTTGTGTGGTTATTTGTATTAGATACATATGATTATATGTGTTATATTTAACCATATGTTTTATTGTATCTTGTGTGTTGCATTCTTAGTATGCGGTACTCGTGACTTAATGTCCGGTGCCTTAAGCATATTAAGACTAGGGGTATGTCTGTCCTTTCTCGGCGGCATGTCAAGTAAGCCTTGATCCTTAGCTGGTCACTTACATAAATTGACATAAGACTCGGGACCATGGCCGAGTAATGCATGACGATGCATGTCTCTTATTTCTATCCTTTATAGGTTCAACTTGAATAGAAGTGATGTTCCGGTTATATGCCTTTGTGGTTATAGATCGGGTGTTCACGGGTTTGGTGGTTGGAAGGCAGCATATCAGGGCCCATAGGAGGAGTCTAGATGATTGGTGTCGCATGCATAATTTAATTATCTTGTTACACGGACTTGTTCCGTGTAAGCATGCATCTTGATTGTTTGATTGTTTGTTGTTGTTTCCGCGTGCATATATTTGTATATCGTTTATGCTTGATGTTATTTATTGTTGGGATGGGTTAAGCTAATGATTGTTGCAGGGAATCCGAGCTCACTAAGTAATCTAAGATTACTTATGACTCCATTTTGTTTTGCAGGAAACCTTAGTGGACATCATTAGAGGGATGCTCAGGACGTAGGAAAGCCGGTATAGAGTTGTTGCTTTTGTAAAATTAAGTGAGTTTTATTGTTGTGTCGATTTGAGCATGTAAGCTCACGGCGCCATTTGTTAATGTTGTTTTGGATACTTATTGTACAAAAGTTTATATGATATAAAAGGAGTATTTTCTTATAAAGTGTGTGTTTCATTCGATATTAGTCTTGTCCGGACTAACACAACTCGCGATCACGGTAAGGGTTGAAAAGCCTAAACCGCGGTCAGGAGGGACGGCCCGTGCGGATGGTCTGGCTAAACCCTAAACCCTAAACCCTAAACCCTAAACCCTAAACCCTAAACCCTAAACCCTAAACCCTAAACCCTAAACCCTAAACCCTAGACCCTAAACCCTAGACCCTAAACCCTAAACCCTAGACCCTAGACCCTAAACCCTAAACACTAAACCCTAAACCCTAAACCCTAAACCCTAAACCCTAAACCCTAAACCCTAATTATTGTCACGGAAGGCTGTGATTGAGTTTTGGTGGAGCACTGGGGACAATAAGAGGAAGATATCATGGGTTGCTTGGCAAAAATTGTGCAAACCAAAGGCTGAAGGTGGGCTAGGATTCCATGATATTTCTCAGTTTAATCAAGCTCTATTGGGGAAGCAAGCATGGAGAATCTGGAACCAGCCTTCTACTCTCTTAGCTCAGATTCTCAAACATCGTTATTTTGAGAATGGCTCTTTCCTTGAAAGCTCTGTCGGAACTAGACCATCCTACTACGCATGGCGAAGTATTCTTCATGGTAGAGACCTGCTTAAACAGGGACTGCTTCATTCTGTTGGAGATGGCACAGGAATTCGTGTTTGGGTTGACAATTGGCTGCTGGATAAACTACCGCGCACACCAAAATATAGACAGGATGCTGAGGTTGATCTGACCTTAACTGTTGATCATCTGATTGACCAAAGATCTGGTAAGTGGGATGCCACACGTATTCGCCAAATGATAGCAGAGGAAGATGTGGAGCTGGTAATCAACACTAAGATCAATCGCCAGTCAAGGGATTCTAAAACATGGTGTCTTGGAAAAAATGGTCTTTATACTTCTCGCAGTGGGTATCTTTGCTTGGATCTTCTCCAAGAGATTAAATCCAATGCTTCTTCTACTACCCCTCCCTTGGAAAAGTCTCTCTGGACTAAGATTTGGAAAATCAAGACATCTCCAAAACTTAAGCACTTTCTGTGGAGATGCTTATCTGGTGCTCTGGCCGTCAAAGAGAGATTACGTTCTCGCTTCATCCCGGTTGATACCACTTGTCAACTTTGTAGTGCTGCTCCGGAATCGATTTGTCATCTTCTTTTTTCATGCAGCTTTGCTAAGGAAGTTTGGCAGAGATCTCGCATTCCCCTTCCTCCTGCTGGTTTTTCACCCTCCTCAGTCCTTCTCAACATTCATTATCTTACCTCGCTCCTAGCGAAGAACAAGAAGGTATCAATTAACTGTTAATCTTTCCCTTGGATACTTTGGCATATTTGGAAGTCTCGGAATTATCTCTGTTTCGAGCAGAGGCGCATTCAACCTTCTGAGGTATTGAATAAGGCTTTGGAGGATTTTGCCATATGGTCAGACTTGCATCACTCAGACGGAAGACCACCTGTTCCTGTGTCTCAGAGCTCGCCACCAATGAAACAGTGGTCTAAACCACCACTTGGTTGGGTTAAATGCAATGTCGGTTCCTCCTGGGTTAATGCTCATCTCAACAGTGGAGCTGCTTGGCTTGCAAGAAATCATCTGGGTGATACTATCTTTCATAGTCGACGGTCATACTCTCAGATATCTTCTCCCCTAGAGAACGACTTGATGAGTATTTTCTGGGCTGTGGAAAGTTTGAGTAATATGCGCATCCCCAAGGTCATTTTCCAAGCTTCTTCTCCGCTGGCTAGAACGGCTTTGCTTCACCCATCCAACTTTCCTATCTTATGGCCTTTGATTTCATCAATTCTAGAGCGGTTGAACTGGTTTGAAGAATGGTCTCTAGAGCATGTTGATGAGATTGGGAACCTACCGGCTACATCAGTAGCTTCTAGAATGGTCTCTACATCAGTAGCTTCTATATTAAAAAAGCAACGAGTCCTTCCACCAAAACAGGCCTTGACTTTCAGTTTAGCATTATAATACAGCCGACCAAATCAACTAAAGATCTCCCACTGGAATCATATTACTATTTTATTGTTGACTCCAACCATTTTATTCAATACAAGCAGCCAGTTTCTCCCTCAGACCAGCAGTGCCTTTGGAGAATAATAGATTTTAGGCCTAGCTTCTATTCCCAATACTATGCAGATAATAAAAGGTCACGTATAGAGATGACTGATAAGCCTCAGCAAAATTTGACACCCAACACAAAAGCTAAATCTACCATTCTTTTCACTCTAGTTGAGCTTAGAACGCATGAAAACAGGTAATGGCTCTATCAACTACACATTTTAAAGGAAACAACTTGATATCAGACTCCAAACTCACAAGTGGGATTGATTTTCTGTTTCAAGGGTTGTTATTACAAGTAAAGTAATCATATCTTATTAGGAATCAGACCTCCTTCCTTCATCTTCTTGAAGATCTCATCGGAATCTTCAGGCGGAGACTGAGACTGCGACTGAGAGAGCTCGCTTGTTTCTTCCTGTGGTGGTTTCTGTTCCGTTTTGGGGGATTCCTCCTTACTGACTCCAAGCTTGAACTGTTCGAGGAAACCATGGTCAGAGAGAGTACTATTATCACTCCTTCTAGCTGGTGAATCTCTGTAAGGGTTGGGAGAAGGTGGATCTCTGCGAGAGTTAGGAGATCTCTCCCCTCGCAAGGCTCTGTTGGGTAATGGCTCTGGAGGATTCCGATTATCTCCCGTTGACACAAATCGTGTAGCGGACATCGACGGCGTGGTAACTCGAATCTTTCTCATCATCTGCCTCGCAAACACGACGGCTTTCAAAGAGGGCACCATCGTTGATTCGAAATGTTAGGTTTTGTGAATTGAAACGACGGATTGAATCAAAGGAGAAAGAAGAAGGGTTTAGTAATGCGAAATGACTTTATGGGTATAATAGTCATTTACACTATAAGGGTATAAGCTTCTTCACTCTCAAAGTCCCAAAATTCAATTGGATAGGCTCTTGTCGAAGGTAATCCTCTCTGACTTCCTTTGTTCATCCTCGAAATTATCTGAAAAAGGAATTGTGTTTCTGTTTGTAGTGGCGTCGATGGAGGCCACGAATAGGAGCAGCATCATGTGGTCTTCAGGGACAAAGGTTTCGATGTTCAAAAAGTGCAAGCATTTGAAGAAGGCGCAAAGCGATGTAGCATCTGAAAACTAGGATTACCTGAAAAACAACATTGGTATCCAAGAGAGGAGACTCCCTTACATCGTCACGAGATGCCCCAAATTCCTCACTTTACGTCTCGACGAGAGGCTCATCAGTCATCCCAATGGTCGAGTGCCTCTCCACGCTTGGAAGAAAGCCTAAAGAAGTTGCTTCCGCCATTACCAAATTCCCTCCGATACTCTCTCATAGCGTGGAAGAGAAACTCTGCCCACTTCTCGCTTTCTTTCAAGCATTAGGTGTGCCTGAAACTCGCCTTCATTATTCTCTCTTTTGCTCCAAATTCTGGCTCAGAGCTTTCCTATCTATAGAGTGTTTTCTCGGAATATCTCTTTGCGTTTTGTCTATCATCGATTCTACAGCCACCCTGGCACTTATCCCTTCATAGCTCTCTTCCTTTGATTTCAATCGTAAGCTCAATATCTCTCCCGATTTCTGATTAATCCTTTTCGGAGAAGCAAGAAACTTGAAACCCGATCAATTTCCGAAGCCATCATTACTAAATTCGAGAGGAAATGGCGGAAGATAAAGCTCACAGAATCGCCGGCGACGCATTTTCCGATGCCTGGAAAAAAAAAAACCGGTTGAACGGTGTCCAAATAGCCTAATTTTAACCGCTTTTATACCGATACGGTTTAATATGCGTAGGCCAAATTAGGTTTTGGGCCGCCCAAAATGGGCTATATCTTTATAAAATCAGAGACGGTTTGGAAAAAAGTCAAAGTCAACACGGGTCAACGCAAAACGGACACGGGTCAACGAAAAACGGACCCACGCAAAACGGGCCCCATTTTACATGATAACCGACATAAATCGACCTCGATTTGTGTGCAAAACCGCGTCTAAACCGTGTGCGAACCGTGTCCCAATAGCCGGATTTTTAATTAATTTGTACGGACCCGGTTTAATATGTTTGGGCCAAATAAAGATTTTGGGCCGCCTATTATGAGCCTAAAAAACACTTATCTCCCTTTAAAACACGATCACTCTTTTTCTGAGATCAAATGACGACGGCTCCGATGTTATATTCCGCCGGAAACTCCCTCTTATGGAGGAACCGTACACCCATACCACCGTCTCGACCTCCGCCTTCTTATAAATCTCTCGTCTCTCCCTTCTCTTCCAGTTTAGTGTTTATGATGAACAGAACCAGAATTTCCCCTATTTCTTGCTCAGCTGAAATCTCCTCGAATGTTGCCCTCGCGCAGAGCCAGCCTTCCTCTGATTACAATCGTAAGCTCTATACCTCTCCCTCGATTCCTGATTTTGATTGAGCCTCCCCGGAGAATTAACAGTGTCTCTGTTTGTGTAGCCTGGTCTGATTTCGCTCAAAATGTTTCTGGCGAATGGGACGGTTTCGGAGCAGATTTTTCACGGGAAGGGAAACCGATTGAACTATCAGTGGTTCCAGAAGCTTATAGAGAATGGGAAGTGAAGGTGTTCGATTGGAAAACGCAGTGTCCCACTCTTGCTTAGCCTGATGATGCAGCCACTCGTTACTGCATTGACGAGAGGAGCATTGGTTCTGCGTTAGCCTATTCGTATTCTTTCACTGGCTCCTATGTTGCTGTGTGGCCTCTGGGGAAGAACAACAGTAACCAGCTAGAGGTTGAGCATTGTCTCATCAATCCAAACGACAAGGTGTCTCGTGTGAGGGTTATCAACTTAGCAGAGACTGAGGTGTTATTGGGATGGTCCCTTCAGGATGGTGATCAGCTCGTAGCTCTACCTTTGCCTCTACACCTACCACAGCAGCTTCAGTTGTAACCGGTTCTTGGAGAGTTCTACTAGCTTTCAGTCCTCTGATTCCAGTGTATACAACCATTCAATGATTGATTAGGTGGTTTATGATTGTGAGAATGTTCAGGGTTGTATTCAACAAGTTACTGGCAAGAAAGTGATTGGTACTGTGATGCTCACATCAAGAAAGCAACGACGGGGAAAGGGTATTTTCAGTAGGATGGTTGTTTGAGCCAGGCCATGCTATCAGATTTAGCTTTGTCTTCTCCAAGGATTCTAAGCTAAAGGTAAAACAATATAATTTTCTTTATAGGATATGGGCATATATGTCACATTATAATAATCTCAAATGAATCCTTCCCTATATGAATGATGTTGGTTCAATACATATCATTACATCTTAGAGTTGCACAGCCTTTGTTGATTCAATCTTTACTGAAAGCTTTGTAGCTTTTGCATCTCGTGGCTCAGCTCTATCAACAACGCAGACCAGTCTAGACTGTCACTTCGAGCGGAACAATAGCACTAGTGCTCAATGAAGGTAATTTTCCAGATGAATCAAAGTTCAAAAATTTGTTTTCAGGTTCCGATTACATTTGATGGCAATAGCTAAAAGTGCGGCTCAACATTTAAAGAAAGATGATTGGATTCTTATTTATGTGAAGCTATTTGTGTAGCTCAATCAGCTTCCCAAAAATAAGAATCTGATCATCATTCTTTAAATATTGAACCGCACTTTTAGCTAGATTGCCCTCAAATGTAATCGGAACCTTGAAAACAAAATTGTGAACTTTGATTCATCCGGAATGGGCATGGGCACCTGCATCGCGCAACATGTCCTTACAGCAGCAGATGATTCAAATCCGTTTTGGAGGATCTTGGAAAAGGCTGTGAAGGACGCTAGAGATAAGACTAGTAAGCCTGAGATATTCCCTGCATCAACAGACGCTCGTTACTTTTGGAAAGCTGGTGAGCCTGCTTTTGGGTTCTCTCCTCTATCAAACACTCCAAGTTTGCTTCACAAATCCGAGATATTGTGCGAAGTAGTTTATCTGTTTGTCTAAGTTCATATTCGAAGACATGCTCTAGTGGTCGACATGTTTTAATGAGTGGTCAATTACCTTTCAGGTTTTCACAATTGCAGCAGCTGATGAAAGGAAGAACATTGTATTGTTGGCCTTTTAGACAATGGAAAAAATTGTCCGAGAGTATTTTTCATATATCACAGAGACGGAGGCAACAACTTTTACTGATTGTGTTAGATGCCTTATAACTTTCACAAACAGCAAGTTTACGAGCGATGTTAGCCTGAATGCTATCGCGTTCCTACGGTTTTGTGCTCTAAAACTTGCAGAGGGAGGCCTTGTGTGGAATGAGAAGGGTAGGTCTAGCAGTCCTGGTACTCCAGTCACAGATGATCATACACCAACTTCCCAAAATTTTATGGAAGCAGATGAGAACATATCATATTGGGTTCCTTTGCTCACAGGTAATCTGATATATTTTCTTAATCTGTGAATAAAATCTCGATTGAAATGCATCACAGATATTTCTGGGCACCTTACAATTTTCGTATTCACATATTTCATTGATAATTCTTTCAACTTGGTTGATATTGATTTGCTTGGAAGTTAGGAAAGAACAGTTCCCTGTATTCTAATCAAATTTCTTTTATTGTTGTCACAGGATTGTCTAAACTAACTTCTGATTCGAGATCAGCAATTCGTAAAAGCTCCTTGGAAGTGCTCTTTAATATTTTAAACGATCATGGGCATCTGTTTTCACGAACATTCTGGATGGGCGTTTTCAGTTCTGTTATCTATCCTATATTTAACAGTGTGTGGGGCGAGAATGATATGCTTTCTAAAGATGAACAGAGTTCATCGCCATCCACATTTTCTCCACGTCCTAACGAAGCTTCTTGGGATGCTGAAACTTCAGCTATGGCGGCACAGTCTCTGGTGGACCTATTTGTCAGCTTTTTTACTGTTATAAGGTCCCAACTTTCAAGTGTAGTATCTTTACTCGCTGGTCTCATAAGAAGTCCAGCTCAGGGTCCTACAGTAGCTGGAGTGGGTGCGTTGCTGCGGCTAGCGGACGAACTGGGTGGCAGTTTCTCAGAAGATGAGTGGAAGGAGATTTTTTTGGCTGTGAAAGAAGCTGCTTCATTGACATTGTCTAGCTTCATGAAAATACTGAGAATCGTAGATGACATTCCAGATGAGGAAACATTGTCTGATCAGGACTTTAGTAATGAAGACGATGTGGACGAGGACAGCCTGCAAATTATGTCTTATGTTGTTTCAAGAACAAAGAGTCACATAACCGTCCAGTTGCAAGTTGTTCAGGTATGTACAAATTGTTGTATGTTTTACTTTACCATATTGGCTCCAGAATAATTGATCTAAAGCCATCCATCTCTCATTCGTCTATTTTTTTGCTCCTGTTTTCAGGTAGTGACTGATCTCTGCCGAATCCATCAGCAGTCATTGTTGGCATCACACGTCACAGTTATACTGGATATACTCTCTTCGGTGTCATCACACGCCCACCAGCTAAATTCTGATTTGATACTACAGAAGAAACTGAGGAGGGCATGCTCTATCCTGGAGCTATCCGAACCTCCCATGCTTCATTTCGAAAATGACACGCACCAGAACTACCTGGATGTTCTCCAAGACCTACTGACATACAATCCAGGAGTGTCCTTGGAGCTAAACATAGAGTCTGAACTGATCACAGTGTGTGTGAAAATACTAAAGGTGTACCTGAAATGCACGTTGTTTCAGGGAGGTGCCGAGTTGGAAGAGACCAGGCAGCCTAAAAACTGGATTCTACCCATGGGAACAGCATCGAAGGAAGAAGCAGCAGCGAGATCTCCGCTAGTAGTTACAGTGCTGAAGACACTGAGGGGACTGAAAAGAGATTCATTCAAGAGGTATGCACCGAATTTCTTCCCGTTGTTGGTGGAGCTTGTGCGAAGTGAGCACAGCTCCGCACAAGTCCCACAAGTCTTAAGCACCGTGTTCCTTACGTGTATGGGTCCAATGATGGGTGAATAGAATAGGGATGGGCTATATAAATTACGATGAATTTTGACATTTGGAGCAGCTGAAGGATATATAGATTGCAAGCAGACACAAATCCCTCTTTTTCTTCTTTTGTTGTTTCTGCTAGATTTACAGGTTTTGTGCGTTTGGTTGGTAGTGATGATATAAAGTAATTGAATATTGTTATAGAAGCTAAAAGAATTGGATTATGAGATTTGGGTTATCTGCACTGCCTGATTTCGATTGTGAATGCAAAAAACTCTCTTGAGCATAGTACAAAACACAGCTAAGTGACATCTGAAGTAAGGATTGTGAAGGATATTATAGACAAAAGAAAAGAGAAAGATGGGGCCAGACCAGACCTTGAACTGAAGTGTTTCCAAAGTCACAATAAAGGCACAAAACTTGGTTTAGACCACCGAAAGTGAGACAAATCAATCATGACCGAAAGCAAAAAGGAAAAGAAAGGAAAGTCAGGAGTGGAACTGCTTTCCTTGGTAAGTCATTCCTAAGCGCCAATACGGGGGAGCCACGTTGTAAGAGGTAATTGTTTTACCGCTTCTGAGAGTAACCTCAAAAGAGGGAGACTGTCCTATGAGATCAAGTGAGGCGTGCCAGTTCTGTCCCCAGTTTCTAGCCATTGGGATCCAAGCCGTTGTATGTCCCTTCACTTTCACTCCAACCACTTCCCCGTCTAGTCCCACATTGCTTCTCATCAATAATTTCAGTAAATAACCATCAATTTCGACTCTGATGGGTGCTACACTATCACTAAAACCAAGAATAATACTCCATCGGATGCAATTAACGTTTATTAGGTCGCCTAATTTGTATAAGAGACTATTAGTGTCATGAAAATGAAGCTTATAGTGAATTCCAAATCATTTGAATACTAATCAAAGCACATCGAGATCGCAACCTAATTTCTTATAACAACGACCCAAATACGGCCCGGAATTTCGAATTCGAATGTTCACTGACCTCAGGACCGCCATGCTCGTAAACCCTAATACCTTTCACCATTTTCTTCTCCGGCGATTCCTCTGTCGCGACTGTACACAGAGCTCTTACAACAGCCGCAGCGCCACGTGTAGACAACGAAAAACTCGAGAACTCAGCAGGACTTAGACGAAAGATGAGATTTTTTACGGGATTTCGTGGAAAATTCGAGAATCTTGGGTGGTATAGACGACGTGATAGATGTCCAGAAGCTTGAAAACACGAGTGATGAAGGGTCAATGCTGCCATTTTCTCTTCTCTTCCTCCTAACTTTAATTGCTTCTCCGATCTTTCTCCTTTAACTTTCAATAAATTACACTACATTCATGCTAGCTTTACTACATTTACGAAACACATCTCGTACTCTTTGAAATATACAGAATTCCTCTAGCCAAAAATACAACACTCATTTCGTCTCACTAATTGATCTAGTTTATAGCTTTACCTGTCAAAACAAAATATAACACACGTGCACGTCACACTACATTTTGTTTTGTTTGACGAAACACACATTTAGTTTTATATTTTAAGGATATCGGTGAAGTTATTAGTCGAATCAGAAAACATTTTATCACAATAATGTATATTTTCTAAACTTCCATAGGCATTGAGCAATTTTATATGGAAAAATAGAATTCTATGCAATTTCTAGGTTGCAACAAACGTAATAGGGAATTTCCTTTAGTTACGGTAAAGCTCAATATTAAAGATGTTTTTCACATAATAATTTTTCTTGAGAACATGTGTGAAATGATTTAGAGTTTTTAGTTAAATCGATTTGGATAGTATGTATCATAAATAATTATCGTCACTTTGATTGATAATGTTTCACTATATCATTTAGATTTAAGTTTGGGGAATTGACACCCAATTATGGCGGTTTCTTGGATATCACGCTTCCTCGTTGTTCTCTTCTCCTAAAATCCAGCCAATTTTCTTTTATCAAAAAATCCAGCCATTTTCTAGATCGGGACATTCTTAGTCTCCGGCTAAAACAGCTGCACCGCCACCCATCCTCCATAAAAGAAGAAAATCCCAGCTCGGCACTTGCATAACATCGGTGGACGGTGGTACGCTTTGAGCCACCGCTAATGTAAACACAAAACTCACTGCCACCGTCACGCTCTGTGTCGCCGATCTTATCTCCAGAGCCGCCCACCCTGGTCGACCCCACCACGACCAACCTAACCCCGCCACGTAAACACACACCAAAACCACAACCTCGTAACCGTATCTTTTTCCGATCACCCCGTCGTGAACCTCGGCCGTCATGATGATTAAACCTATGGTAACTTGTGACGCAAGCACATGTAACCCTCCGATCAAAAACAGTCTTTTTGCCGATTATGTCCACCACAACCACCAACGTCGAAGCTGTGCCCACGATCATGGTTATGAGTGTAGACATCAAGGAACCGCTCTCTCCAAGAACAACGACGTTGGTTGATGCCTGTAACTTGCTGAAAGAAAGGTATCGCTAAAGCCATCACACCGACTCAAGCCTATATTTTTTCTCGACTTTCCTTTGTTTTTTTGATGAAATTTTTCTATTAAAATTAAAATGCGTTAAAAAAAAGAAAGAAGACAAGTAGGGTTACCCATTGTTGTTGAAACCCAAACGAAGGAACATACATGAACCAGCCCAACAGAGATTACTGGTCCGTTTTCGACTTTCCTTTGTTCCTATTTTCTTATCACACATAATTGATTTAATGCAACTCCTCAACCTCTGAATTTGGTCTTATTGTTGTTTTGCATGTTGAATATTTGCTGACATTCTAGAGAAATATTTGAATGAAAGAAGCTAAAAAAAACGCATCGCTCTCTACCTAATTAATCTTCTTCTTTTTTTGATCTTTCGCTCTCTACGTAATCATCATTCATGAAAATGTCTAAAAAGTTAAGAATATCTATTTATATAATAGTCGTTTGTCTAATAATGTGTTATTTGTTTTTCTTATTAGTCTAAAGATCCCGAAACTACTTCAGTCTCTTGTTTCAATATATGTGAAAAACGTTATATGTGAAAATCAAATATGAGATAATGTTGATTTTGATCTCACAATGAAACGGATCCCAAATATATTATTAAATCTCATTTAATAAAGGGTGATTATCACTCTAGCATACTTTTTCTGAGATTCATATCAAAAGAGACACTTTCCTAGTTTTTCAAGTTTTTTCCACTGTTCAATATTATTCAATACCAAAATGCCCCTCAATTATATTCATGATGTGCGAAGGAAAAAGTTTGTATCATTCTCTTGCTTTTCCTTCTCCTTCCACGTCAATTCTCTTTCCACATTCTTTTTTTTTTTTTTTCTTCTTTTTTTCTCTCTCATTTTCTTTTTATTATCATTTTAGTTACTTAATATGATATATATTGTTATTTTTTTATATAATCAATTAAGATTTATTTCTTCCTACATTTTAAGATCCATTGTTACTATATTTTAAGTGAATAATTATATTACATATTATCCATGATCCAATTGAACATTTGTTTATCATTAAATGGATATTCAAAAGTACCAGAACAAACATACTACACCAAAATTTATAACTACTGATCATCCAAACATATCCGTTAAACTTTGACCACATGAACGAAGAAAGATAAGGTTTTTCGGTGTAATATAAATCCGCCAAACTCTGATCAAATGTTTGTTGTAACAACACCAATCACTGCTCTGAGTTCAGATCTGAGTGATGTGTATGTAACTTCGTTTAAATGAATAACACTAAACCCTAACATCTACCTTATAAACCCAAACCGATATGCTATTTTAAAAAAATTTATAACACTAAACCCTAACTCCTACCTTATAAACCCAAACCGATATGCAAGTTCTTTTAAATATATATAAAAATATATCATAATCCCGACCTTATAAACCCAAACCGATATGTAAGTTTGTTTAAATGTATAAAAATATACCCTAACTCCTACTTATCAACCCAAACAGATATATAAGTTCGTTTAAATGTATAAAAATATACCATGACAAACTACTGACCATCCAAATATCTCTTTCAAATTCTGACGATATGGATGTATATAAAAAACGTGTCCATACAAACTCTGATAAAGAGTCAAGTAAGGGAATTCATCCATTAGCGTTCGAACATATGTTTGGTGTTTTAAAGAACTTTTGACTATATACCTGACAGTTCCAATTGTCATTCATCTACGTTCATCCGTTTTAAAACATATTTTGTTTCTAAGTGAACACAAACTACTGACCATCCAAACATATCCGTTAAACCCTATCTTAAATGCGAAACAGAATGGTAACAAGATTTCCAAGGTTCTTGGTCATGTCCCAGTGGACGCCGAAAAATTAACATATTTTAAATATATGGTCACGTTCACATGGATACTGGAAATGCAAAATTGATTCAAGATTAAAAACTAATTAATAAAAGACATTAACTTTCTCATATAAAAGAGATGGACATAAGAAAAAACCTTACAAAATCAGACAAAAAAGAGTCTTACTATTACTACGTTTTGTAGTTCTTCCAAGCCCAAAACCAATGTTGGATGAGATGAGAACATTGGATTAAGAGAATTTTAGGATAAGCCTTTACGAACGAACACAAACAAAATTGTGTGCTTAATGTTCCGACGCAAACACAATTCCTCAAAGATTTACTGTTTTGATAACTAAAGATTCGTGCATTTCATCGATTCACCACCCCTTATCCATGCAATTTATTATCCCTTCATAATGAACAAATGTTCAATCACATGTAAATAATGTGTAATGTGGAGGAATATGGATTTTGATTAATTTGAATCAAGTAGTACCCGATAGCATCTGCTTCCCAGGGACTTCACGTAGCAACTCGGAACCACCAAATGACAAGTTTCGTTATAATTTGATTAAGCTCGCAAGCTTAACTTCAAACTTATCATTTTTGTCCATAAAACCATGTCCAAACGATGTATTCCATATGATCGGACGAGTTGTTTCACCATAATTGCTTCCGTCTCTTAATTCTCAACTCAAGAAAAAAGGATAATTGTCGAACTAAAGCACTGCTTACCAAGGAAGTAGTTGAAACCGCCATAAGAATTGGTTTCTCAGGTTAACTACTTCAAAATTATTAAGATCCAATAGTGATGTAGTTTTCATTGCCCAAACTAATTTCTTATTGAATAATTCTAGTTTATAGTTGATGCCTACTCTACTATTTGTTATTTTTTGTCACCATGAACCTTAACTCCTACCTTATCAATCCTAAAACCCTAAACCCTAAAACCCTAAACCCTAAACATTAAACCCTAAACTCTAAACCCTAAACCCAAAACCCTAAAATTTAACCTCTAACCCCTAAACCCTAAACATTAAACCCTAAACCCTAAACCCTAAAATTTAACCTCTAAACCCTAAACAATAAACCCTAAATCCTAACCCCTAAACCCTAAATTTTAATCTCTAAATCAAAAACCCTCTATCGGTGACTTTTAAAGTGGTGTTGTCGATATGGTCATCATGTGATTCATGCCAAGTAGTCGTTTCATATTGATACAGATATCGTTAACTGTTACACTAAAACACTAAACCCAATCTATTGTTCGAATCCATTTGGTTATGGTATAAAATAACAATATCACTTTTTCAAGCCGGTGTGAGTTACTAGTTGACCACATGAAAAATGTATTATCAATATCCATGTGGACGTGACCATATACATTGACATCTTTTAATTTATCGGCGTTATCGACGTCCATTAGGATATGACCATAAACAGAATGAATCAAGAAAATAACATAATTGTTAAGTTCAAACCAAGAAAATTCATATGGACTGGACTTTTACTTAGTAAAAAATTTATGTCCATTTTTCGGCTTCCACGGAAAATAATGAATAAGTAAATCATAATTGGAACACATGGTCGCAAAAAATCAAAAATATAGTTCATAAATAAGTGTCCAAACAACTTCTCCACGCTAAAATCTCAATCAACCATGATGCTCTGATGGTGTTGTCGGAGATGGCGACGGTGAGGTTGGTCGTTGGACGGAGAATCGTGGCCTTTTTCGATATGTATCCATTACAACCTCAATTCAATAAACAATGTGGCCTTTTTCGATCATAGCAAACATCATTCACTAATTGTACCAACGAATCTAACAAGAAAACAGAGGAAAAATATAAACTTTGCACAGAGACTACAAAAACCAAACTTTGAACACCCAAAATTAACAAACACAAGCCATCATAAGCAACCAAAAAGGAACAACATAACAGATGAAAAGTGTGAAATCATCGAATCTAATGAAAACAAACTGATTTGGGTAAGAAACAGAGAAAGAAACACAATCTCACCGAGAATCATCAGTCTGAATATGACTCCAGTATCTCCGATCATCGATTCCGGTTATCGATAAGCCCTTTGCCGATATGCATAAACAGAGCCCACCTGTTCGTTTATTTACCCAAGCTTTCTGCAGAAAACATCTAAAACATTAGATTTCTTCTCTAATTTACAGGAAAATTTTGCATATTATGAATTCATTTCCTAAAACCATTCATGTAAATCATTTAACAAAAAAAATCCCCAATTTTTTTCGCTGAAGAACCCTAAAATTTTTCTTGAAGCCAAAGAAATCTAAAAGGACGAACCTTGTTGCCCTCGTCGAAGGAATTAACTCGAGAGAGAAAAGTAAAGATGTCTCTTTTACGCAAATTTTCCGGGAAACCACCAAGGATTTTCTCGAGAATCAATCTATAATCTGGAGGAAGTTTCGATTCCCAAACAAAATCAGCCCAATAAGCACCATGAAAAGCTTTGTTTAGCTTCGAGAATCTACAGATCTCAACCGGATCCAAATTCTGGAGAATCAAAGCCACACAACTTTCAGGCAAATCTCCTAAACCAGGCTGCAACAGATCTCGATCTCCATAACATGACGATAGACTATTTTAAAACAGAGAGAACCCTGAACCCATGGGGTTATCAAAACCCTGCAAAAATCCTCTTTAACGTGATTGAAGAATCAAAAAAGCTGTTTTTTTTTTGTGCCTTGGATCTTCAGAGAAACAAAAAACAGAGAAATTTCGAAACTTTGATTTGGGTTTCTTCTTTTTGACAAATCGTAAAACAGAAACAAAGCAAAAAAGAAAAGAAGGGTTTGGTGGCGTCAGACACAAATGGTGTTGTAAGGATTCTCTGATTTATGGACGGTGACGCAAATGGGAGGGGATATGTGTATTATAGGGAGTAACTTTAGTTAGGGATGGGTAACTGTTGAGTGAAAGGGGAATCGATTTTTTTAGGGTGTTTAGGTAAAAACACCCAAACTAAAATAGTTGAAAGACAAAAGTGTGTTATAGTGAAAGAGAAGTTGAGAAAGTATGCCATTGTGATATTATTCCTTTAATAAAAAAGTCTGATGTCCCTCATCAATATTAGTACTAGTCTTCGTAAGTACTACTAGTCAGTTACAAAATGAGTATAATTGGTGGACTTGAATGAAACGGATCCCAAATATATTATTAAATCTCATTTAATAAAAAAAGTCTGATGTCCCTCATCAATATTAGTACTAGTCTTAGTAAGTACTAGTCAGTTACAAAATGAGTATAATTGGTGGACTTGAGATGTTTTATTCAAACGGATTTTTTTGGATGTCTCATCAATTACCTAGTCAAGTACTCCCACAAAATGGGTTTGATTTTAGTCTTTTTCTCATTATTAATTAATTAGTTTTTTTAAAAAAAATTTTGTCACAACTAATTTGATTTTAAAGATGCAAGTATTGTTGGACCGTTGCTTCACCAAAACGGCCGAATATTACAATATAACTAGATCATGACCCGTGCTATACAGCACGGGATTTAATATTTTTCATGAATTAAATTGTATATTTTGTTCAAAGAAATAAGAAATAATATAGTATAATAGTATAATATAAAAGGGAATATATCATAATATTTTATATTTATTACTATTTGGATCTAATGTTATATATTTTATTTGACTAAAGAAGGAGAGAATATTATATTTTAGAATTTAATATATTTAGCAGCATTAGATTTGTATTTTTTATATGAGATTAACAATTTCTTTGGTTCAATTAGGTATTGATAATTTCTCTTACCCAAAAAAAATTAGGTATTGATAATTTTATTGTGTGATTGTGAACAAACAAAAAAATAGTTGTATTGGGTCTAAGTTTTTTAATGGATTATATTGGGTTTGGGGGGTCCAGTTTCATGGTTTAAAAAAAATGAAAAAAAAACGGTTTAACATACCTTTGGAATTTGCTGATGTGTTCATTTTTGATGTCTACTTGGATTTTGTTACCGTGTAATTAAAATAAGATGACTTAAAACTTACGGCACATATATTACAAAGAAAAGTGTATAAAATTTCAATGGTACTTACAGCCTCATCTGTCAAAATCATTTCCAAAGTTATGCCAGAACCTTTTGTAAAATGAATCCACGAATGAAGTGTACTAACTTGAATACACCAAAAAGTCTTGACAGACTTCAAGTTATAAATAGGAGTGTAGCGACTAACGATAGTCATTTCTGCTGTATTTTTAATTGTAGGATATGAGAATGGTGCTGAGATGATTTCTGTGAGAAAGGTACGTCAAACCTAAATGGATATTTATAGTTGTAGATTGTTTGTGATAATTAGGAGATTCATAAATATATTAATTAGCATAAAATATTTAGATAATATTTTAGAAAGGTATATTCTAGATTATTTGGAATATAGGATCAAAATTATATAACAGAGAGATTTGACAATCTTTAGAAAAGATTTTTAAAAAACTGATTAGCTAATTATATTGATGCGTGATTAAGCTAAACAAAAAACGTAAAACTAAACAAAAAAACGATCTAGAATATAACAACTATTATAACTTTTTTTTTTTTATAAAGGGTTTTAACAAAATCTTTTAATATCTTTAAACCCGTTTGACCTGTTGACCCGTTTATATATATTAGTGAAATGGAATAAAATGATTATAATTAGAGATCTAATGGCATATATTGTAATTTCTTACAAAATCTAAGTTATGACTCTTAGGATGTACTTCCCAAATATTAGTATAGGATAGTATCATCATTCACAGTTATTTTTATAGTAAAATTAAACAACAC